TATATATATATATATATATATATATATATATATATATATATATATATGCAGCAGTTAGAATGAGACTTCCTGCCACAGGCTCAGTCTGGCACCCAGCTGGTGGCACTATTTGGGTAGGCTAAGGAGGTGTGGCCCAGCTGCAGGAAGTATGCCTTTGGCCGTAGGCTTTGAGGATGCAAAAGCACCACATCACTCACTCTGCACGCTCTGCTTCCTGCTTCTTGTCTAGGACGTGAGCTCTCAGCTTGCTGCTCCAGCTGCCAACGCAAGTTGTCGTGCCAGCCATTCCCCAGAGATGGCACTGAATCCTTATCCTTCCAAAACTGTAAGCCCAAACAAGCACTTCCTTCTACGAGTTGCTTGGTCATGGACTTTTACCAAAACAGTAGAAAAGAACCTAATGATGATGATGATGATGATGATGATGATGATGATAAATGTATGTATGTATGAAACCTGGCAGTGTTTCCTTATAAACTGTCCTCATCAAAATTTCTTGCTCAGAAATAATTTTAGCCATTCAGGGCTAGGAATGTTAGCCCATTGTAGACTGATTGCCTAATAGAAATAGGCCTAGCTTCTGTCATCAGAACCCCTGCCACCACAACAAAGTATCAGTAAAAATTATAGAATCAAACTTCATAGAAATTTAGAATTAAAGACATTTTGACAGAAAATACATCAAAAGTTACCCTTATGTGTCCAGCACACAGAGTCTCCAGGGAACCTGTGGCACTGCAGCTAACATCGATCAGGCTGGCTTTGCGTTTGTAGGCCACACTGACTTCCCAGACGCTCTAGTGAAGTTCACTTGTCTGCATCTGCTGGGAAGAGTGAGCACATGCTGTCAGAAGCTTATGGAGGTAAGGCCGGGAAGGGAATCATATAGGATGACTTAATGTCCACAGTCGTTCCACTTTCATGAAGGCTTCTGTGGGTGGGGCTGCCTCCTTCTGGGTCTCACCCACATCATCACTCATCCTGTCTCCTGAGGGCCTTCATCCTGGAGCCAGCCAGTGAGTGACAGCAGATGTCCAGTGTCAAGCACATGTTTCTCTCTCCAGATTTCATTGGGGTGTGAGCACCACTACTCCAGAGCGAACGATTCAGGAAGTTCAAGGGGAAACTGTATGTTCACCTTAGCCCTGAGGACCAAGGACCACTGTTCGTTGACTGGACGCAGCTTAAAGGACCCAAAAATGAGGTAGTGGACTGCATGATGAATATGCCCTGTGCCTGCTCACTTTTACTAGGCGGATGTGGTATCAGGGGCAGAAGTCCCACTGCACAGGCCTGTGAATATGAATAGAGGGAGGGGTCATCAGATTTCTTGAATGCTTGGCGGACAAGAGGATGTTGTAGAAGTTCTGAAAATGTGGACTTGAATGTTTGTGACAGGAGACAAGAAACAAGAAGGGTGTGGTAAGTTGGCTGGGCAGCAAGGGTATGTGTGTATGTATGTGTGTGTGGATAGTGTGTATTCTATGTCTTTTCTTTTTGTCATGATCAAACTTCAGCCTCCCTAGTTGCTGGAACTACAGGCATGATAGTCTTGCTTCCAAATTTGCATTAAGACAAAAAGGAATTTGTCTCCTCCCTTCCCCCTCCTCCCACTTGAGATCACACAGGTATGTTAAGATCAGCTGCCATAATGGATTACTGTAGCTTGGTGGCTCAAGCTACAAAATTTCTTCTCAGTTGTAGAGATATAAAGTCTGAAATCAAAGACCACAAGCGTCCTGCTGCAGATGCCGGGGGAAGCTTTTACTTGTTTGTTCCTTGGTTCCGTTTGCTTGGAGAACTGTTTTCCAGCTCTCTGCCTAAGGAGATGGTAAGGTGTGTTTCTTAGAGGCAGCAAAAGTATGATTCTTAATTCCTAATCCAACCTGTTCTTCTGGGTCTCTACATTGTTTAATCGGGGTGGTATTGCTCAAAGACCTGGACTAATTCCTTTCATTTTGTCATATATGTTACAGAAAAGTAAATGGTGTTTAGGCATATTAATTTTTATAAATTGTCTTTGTAGCCAGCATTCAGATGAAGAACACAGCCATCAGCCCTGAGACTTCTTTTTTGCCACTTCTGGTTCTTCGTTCCCTCCTACCGTGAGCATTGTGGGGACTTCTAAGGCTTTACATCTGTAAGGGGTATTTTTTTTCCTGTCTCTGGGTCTTACATAGAAGTGATGCACACTTGTCACCCTAACGCTTAGGAGATGGAGGCAAGAAGATCAAGGCCAGCCTGGGCAATGAGACAAAACCAAAAAGAATTAAAATTTTACTGTCAGAATGGTATCTAGAAAACATACTTATTCTCCCCACCAACCTGGGAGGTGGCTAGGGAGTGGGTTACATGCATGATCTTCCTTCCACAGAATCCACACAAAAGCGCTCCTCCGTCATCCCAGCACCCACACAGGGATATGGGTGGCAGAAAGGAGAACCCAGGGAGGTTCACAGCCCAGCCAGCCGACCGTACCGGGCACCAGATCAAGGGGGAGGGAAGGACCACACCTGCGGTTGTCCTCTGACCTCCCTAGGTGGGCAGTGGGAAGTGGGCACTGGCCATGAAAGACTTTCAAAGAGCGGGGGCCAAACCACAGAAGAGCAGAACCATGCATGAGAATGGACCTGGAGCAGCTCCTCTGCCAACGGGCCCCTGTGTGGTGCTGTGCACAGAAACAGTGTCCTCCCTCTGATGGAGGTCCTCTTTTTCTCTGTATTCTCCACCCCTCCACACACACACACACACACACACACACACACACACACACACACACACAATGATGAAAACAAAACACCTTCAGAAACCCACATTCTAAATCACTTTTTTGTTGTTTTTGTTTTTCGAGACAGGCTGACCCTCAAAATACAGAAATCCGCCTGCCTCTGCCTCCCACGCACTGGGATTAAAGACATTTAACACCACACTCACATAAATTAAAATCCTTTCACTTTTTGATTGATTGATTGATTTTTGAGACAGGGTTTCTCTGTGTAGCCCCAATGGTTCTGGAACTCTACTCTGTAGACCAGGCTGACATACAACTCAGAGATCTACCTGCCTCTGCCTTCCAAGTGCTGGGATTAAAGGTGTAAGTGATTTATTTTCATTTTATGTGTATGATTATTTTATCTTAATGGATATATGTGCGCCACATGCAAATCTGAGAGCCATGGGAGCCAGAAGAGGAACTGGATCCCCTGGGCCTAGACTGACAGATAGCTGTGAGGTACCTCATAGATACTAGGAATTGGACCCAGGTCCTCTGCAAGAGCAGCATGCACTAACTGCTGAGCCATCTCTCCAGCGCCTACATCAAATTCTTTGGGTTTTTCAAGACAGGGTAGCCTTGGCTGTCCTAGAACTCACTTTGTAGACCAGGCTGGTCTCGAACTCAGAGATCCAACTGCCTCTGCCTCCGAAGTATTGGGACTAAAGGCAGGCATCACCATGCCTGGCCTAAATCAAATGATTATATGGCATTATTGGATGTTTTTTTCATGTTTTCAGATAGAAGATGCTTCTTGTTTTCTCTGATTCCACCAATTGCATCGTTGTGAACTAGCGGCTTCAAATGCTAGGCCAGCCTATCTGAAGAGGTGAGAAGCACACAAAGACAAACCCACTGTGGGACACAGCCAGCAGCACCAGTTTATTTTACAGTGTTCACGATCACAGTTAAGGTTACTGTTGTGAGATGTTAGTGGTTTGGGTCCACATTTTATTTTCCATCTGAATTAGAAACATTTTACATTAGTTAAAAATAAATTTTTATGAGTCTGAGTCCACATTTTTTCTTGACCATTGGAACATCACAGTTTCAAGTAACAAAAGATACAAATAAAAACATCGAAGACTAAATCTACCGATATGTACATACTGAACACGTTTAATGACCACAGCCATTAGCAAGTCCTGATGTCACCTCTTTGGTTCGGAACCTCACTACCGAGCCGTCACACAGAGAGCTCTGGGACTTCCCGGTTGTCCACAATGAGCGTATGGATGATGCCTTCTTTCCTCTTCCCGCTGCTGACAGCTTTTATGTAACACTCATGGCTCCCAACACTGAAGTGTGTTTCAGTCCCGTCATCTACAAACGCGCCCTAGGACAGCAGAGCAGGAGGCGTCAGTGTCGCAGAAACCCCTCTGCTGGAGAACAATACCCTCTGAAAAAGTACAGGTCATGATGTCAAACTCTGCGACGTCAGAGCCCAGAGATTATGTTTAGAGACCTTGCTGTAATTTCCAAAAGCCTGAGGGGTCTTAAGTTTTGGGAGAAGAAAATTCTATGTCCACAGTGCAGACAACGTTTGCAAAACTAAAAATGGTGAGCACGTCAATAAACATTTCTCGGTTATCCATATCAGCTTACGGACACCGTTTCACTGAGTACAACAGCTGCCAGAGATCATCACTATACTCATTTTATAGACACAGAAATTGAAGAGCAACATATTTAATAACTTCCTGAAGGCCCATCCAGCAAGAGGCGGAAGGGCTCCCACCACAAATCAGCTGCCTCTGGTGGAAGGCTAACACACACCCAGCGTAACCAACAGCACCGATCACTGAGCGCCACACCCTTGACTAATCTGTTCGTTTTGTTTTCTGAGACAGGGTTTCTCTGTGCGAACAGCCCTGGCTGTCCTGGAACTGGCCAGGAACTGTCTGGCTCTGACTAGGCTGCCTCTGCCTCTGCCTCCTGAGTGCTGGGGTTAAAGGTGTGTACCACCACACCTGTCCTTATGGCATTTTTGCTATTTGATTTAAATTAAACATTAAAATTAACCCACCTTCAACTTCCTTTTAGCGCTGCTACTAGAAAAGGTGATATTACATCCAAGTCTCACTGGCTCATATTATATTTCTGTGGAGCGGTACTAACGGGAACTTAGAGGACAGAAGTGGAGTGTGTCAGAAAGCAAGGGAAGCACAATCAGACTCAGAACTTGTTGGCAGAGGCAGGGACTGTGGCTCGGTGCTAGAGGTCCTGCTGGTCCTCACTGTGCTCCTGGGCACTGCAGAGATCCACAGAGTGAGCAAGCCTGGAGTCTGCTCTCTCAGCAACAGCATGCACGCACGCACGGGAGCATGAGAGGAAGTGCGTCCTGGGCTCCCAGCAGCCCCGGTGGGTGGTCTGCAGAGGAAGTGCAATGTGCTCCTCCAGGCTTGTCCTGGGCACTTTGCACTGAGACCTGGAAGAAACCTTTGGAGGGCCAGACAAGGTTTCCCAGCAGAACCCTGCTTCTTGGCAACTTCCCACGCTAGTGATGATACGGGGGGAGGAAACAATGTGTGCTGCACGGGAGCAGCCCCGGGTGTGCACAGACTGGAGCTGGCCGAGGTAGGGAAGCTGCCCACGCCACTCTGGCGCCATAGCGGAAGCAGGCAACGTGGTTACAGAGGGCTGTCTTCACACTGGCTTCCAGGCAGTTACTAAGAACGAGCCCATCCCAGATGAATGCTGTTTCTACCCTACTTAAAGCCACATGCACTTATACTGAAACCCATTATTCTGCGCAAATGACAACACGGTAATATTTCCAGAAACCTACCTTATCATGGTCAGTTTTGGCACGTTGAGGGTAGGAGCTCGGGCCTCACACATGCTAGGTAAGTGCACCACTCTACTCCTGAGCTACAACACCAGCCTTGATTTATTGTTTTAAGATTCCATTTCACTAAACATTATTTTCAGAAGCCAGGCAGAGTGGCACACGCACACCTTTAAGGCCAGCACTTGGTTGGGGGCAGAGGCAAGTGGACCCCTGGGTTCATGGCAGCCTAGTCTGCAGAGCAGGTCCCAGGACAGCCAGGGCAACACAGAAAAGCACTGCCTCAAACAAACAAACAAGGCAAAAGCATTTGTTTTAGATTTTTCAATTGTATATGTCTGCACGTTCTGCTCGCAGGTTTGTCTGCGGACCACAGTGGGCCTGGTGCCAGCGGAGGGGAGAAGAGGGTGCTGGATCACCAGGAACTTGAGTTGTAGATGACTATGGGTGCTGGGAATCCAACCCATCCTCTGCAAGAGCAACAAGCGCTCTTAACCAGTGCGCCGTCTCTCCAGCCGAGTGTACATGCGTGTGTGTGTGTGTGTGTGTGTGTGTGATCGTGCCTAGCTTTTACACGGCACTCGAATCCTAACTCAGGTTCCTGGGCATGCCCTGGCAGTTTACTGACTGAGAGATTTCTACAGCTCTCATCCTCCCCACACTCAGACCTCTTGCCTCCATATTAGCTCAAGAAAAAGGTGGTGGTGGGGGGGGTGTCCACTCACACACACTATAATAAATGAAGGGAACTTACTGCTGTCTCCATTTTTTGACCATTGCACCATACATCCATAGTGTCTTTTTCTGTAAAAGCAACATAAACTTCAAGTTATAATTCTAGATTTCAGGTTAACTCCTTTTTTAAAGTTGGATATGCATATATGTCTAGATTACAATCAACATTCTAAAACTCAACACTTTCAATGTCTTTGAAGCTCCCAAAATTTTGAAGAAACTTTGTGCATCAATGAAACCAAAAGACTTTTTTGAAATCTTTTAAGAGGGTCCTGTCAGAATATGATAAAAGTCTAATTAAACAAAGCAACTTCTGAAGGACAATTTTTGTCAAGAGTTTATGAACAAATGAACAAGGGGGTGAGGAAATTACAAACCCTTACTCATGGGGAATGTGGTGAGCACCAGGGACTAGATGACTTCTCCTGCCTCCTACACTGACAGAGCTAAACGGATGATGGCAGGAAGACCATCCGCCTTGGGGTTTAGAGAAGGCAGACAGCAGGAACTTTACTTTTAGTTTTTTTGCTGGACACTATAAAAATAATCCTATTTTTATAGTGGTTTTACTTTCGAAAAAAACTCCTAGATTATAAGGGAAAATAGATCAAGCATACAGACTCTACAGTATGGAACACAGGGAGAGCACTAGCACGGGGACTCTACAGTACAGAACACGGAGAATGCAATGCTGCCATAGCACTAGCATGAGGACTCTACAGTATGGAACAACAGGGAACGCAATGCTGCCGCAGCAGCAGCCTTAAGCAGCAGTTTGCTACCAGAGTTCCCTGTCAGTGGGAGTCTTCAACTCAGCCTGTCAATATTGGTGTCCTAAAAACTGGATGGAAGACTGTGGTCACCAAGGAGGCAGGTGAGGAAGTGGAGACAGAGAAAGAGAGAGAAAGAGAGACAGAGACACAGAGAGCAAGCCTGTGTTTGTGGCCTGCACAGGCACCAGGATCCAAGGACAAAATCCTGCCCAGGGGTCATGTCTGAGGGTCCAGCCAAGGGTGTGACTCCGGCAGGCCACCTACTGTAGGGGCACAAGGTGAAGGGGCTTCTCTTCTCCCCACTTCCTGAGCCAGACGGGCCCCCGGCTTAAGCTGTAGGAAGCCTTTGAGGAGGGCTAAATGTGACAAAAGGAAAGCAGTGGTGGCCTCAAGGTAATATGTAGGGCCACCCCAAAGGCAGTCTGGATATGATTCTTGCATGGTCAGAGGCAGGGAAACCCAGCTGATCACAGCATGCGGCTGAATATCCAGGGCTAAGATCAGTGACAGGGGAAGTGGGACACGGTAGGTAATTAAGTAGTAATTAAGTAAGTAGGTAATTGGTAGGTAATTAAGTCTATCGACTGAACATGCATACATATTCAGATTATCTAAATTATCTCGAGAGGTTTGCCGGGGAATATGGCTAATCCAGAAGCCATTAAAGAAAAACAGATTCCACCTGAAGACAAATTGTCAAAATCTGCATGACTGAAGAGACCATGGGCGTGGAGCAGCAATGTCACATAATGACAAACCAGCGCTGTGGCGCAAGGCTGTCTCAGCATTCAGAACCAAACCAAAGGAAGGCCCACATTCTCAAATGCACCGACTCTCTAACCCAGCGGTTCTCAACCTTCCTAACGCTCCCACCCTTTAACACAGTTCCTCAGGCTATGGTGACCCCTCCCCTCCGTCCAAGCACAAAGTTATTTCCGTGCCTACTTTGTAACTGTAATTTTGCTGTTGTTATGAATTGTGATGTACATATCTGATATATGACCTCTAAAAGGGCCACGACCCACAGGCTGAGAACTACTGTTCTAAACCTTTCACAGCTAAATAAGTGGTAGGATGCGGTGAGTCTCGACATCCCCGGCTACATCACGATGACACTCAGAAAGATGGTTGGCACAAACTATTAAAAGCTCTAGGAAGGAAAAAAAAAAAAAAATGAGAGTCACACAGACACAAAACTCATTCAAAACAGTGAAGAACAGAAAATATGAGAACAAGGACTTCATAAATTCTGAGGGGAAATTATTTTGCCGTATTCAGGAAAAACAGCAAGCTGGGCAGTGGTGGCACACGCACTCGGGAGGCAGAGGCAGGTAGATCTCTATGAGTTCGAGGCCGGCCTGGTCTACAAAGCGAGTCCAGAACAGCCATGGCTACACAGAGAAACAAACCCTGTCTCAAAAAACCAGCCAAACAAACAAACAAACAAACAAAAAGAAAAGAAAAACAGCAACTCAACTTAGAAGCCAAGAAAAAGTTTATTTCCTTGACCACAGAAATAATTCCTTCAAGATGTACTTCAGTAACAAGATGAAATTGGAAACAGCTGGCAGCAACTGGTTGAACTACTACTGTTCATGAAAATGAGCCTAGGTGGCCACACCGGAGAAGGCCAGAATCTCCTGCTCTCCCACAGACACGACCCAAGAATGAATGGAGGGCTCAGTGCTTTTTATTTATGAAGAAAAATACCAAACAATAGATGTCTGCATTAATATTACTTCTTAAACCCGGGATTTTAATTTTCAAATCCAACCTTATCAAATGTGACATTAGGACACCGCATATAAAACCCAGGGAGCTGAATGAACAGCCGTTTCTGCGGGACAGGAGGAGGACAGCTGTGCTTGCGGTTCTCCGCTTAGGAAAGGGACCACAGAAGTCTGTAGGGCAGGACATCATAATGGCCAGAAGGTTCTGCAGAAAGAGCCGACTTACCCAGAACAACTCTCATGTCCTTGCCGTCCAAATGCAATACCCAGGTGTTGGTGGTCTTTGATCTGTTCTCCATGTACTTCTTGAGGCTTTTCCCATCAATTTCCAGGGTGTACTCATACGCAAAACCACTGACAGCATCTATATTTATGGTGGCTTTGGTTTTTGCGGCTCCGACGTAGAACGTTTCTTTGCCCACCAATTTGAACATCCACTCTTTTCTTATCTCTTCCTGGATGATGACATATAAAGGTTTAAGAAACGCAAGACAGAAAAATTAATACTTAATTTTAAAAGTAGTGTAAAATTTCAGACTGTTCAAATGACAATATTAGCTGTATTTTTATTATTTCGTGTAGAGGTTCCTCAGAGTTAGAAGTTGCTGTCTATGTATTCTGTAATGACCATCAGATTGCTATAGAACCGTGAGAAACAGCCACAGTCAAAACAAAGACAAACACAAACCCCCTGATTTTACTTATTGAGAGGCTGCACTGACAAAACCAAGCTTTGTTGTCAAGTTTACAAAGTCACGTGTTTCCTACCTTCCCATCCACGTACACAACACGTTTGCCTGAGGTGGTCCCATGCTCAAATTCAATCTTGTGGATGCCATCACTTAATGCGACGTCCCAAACAGCTACAAGATCTGTCATCTTTTCCAGACTATAAAGAGGGCTAAAGGAATAAAACAGAGCCATTAAAAGGGGCCAAAAGAGTGGGAGAATGACTAGTCACTCCTTCCACCAGGAAAAGGCCAGATTTTCAAGGTCCTTACAACTACAAAATGATAAAGTGATATTCCTCAAGATACCCCACTCACACGGCATGTAACTGCTTTCTCTCCCGGGCTCTTCCCTTGAAAGACACTATGCAGAGGTGTAGTCTATAATCCCAAAGTCACCTAAATACTAATAAGATTAAGATGTAACAGTTAATCCCGGATAGCACTCTGGGCTGGGCCAGTACATGGAAAGGTTAGAGTCACTACTCTACGAACAACAGCAACAACAAAAAGGCCAGAAATTAGCAGTTTTGCTTTGTTTTACATCAGATTGATCCCAAACAAGAATTCTTCAAACTTTTCAGAACCACTGACGGGGGGTTTGTTTCAACAACAACAATTTAAAAAAGTGTTCTGATCTAACATTAAGAGCTATCATGGAGGAAATCTGATGTTGAGGATAGATGATTAACTAGCTCTGAGTAGTTACGGCAGTTAGGGGGGTCACAGCTGACTGCAGCTGGCCGGTGCTCTCCAGGAACCGGTTCTGCCAGTAAAACATGGGCTCCTCTCCGGGAGATGGAGGCTGTCAGTCCCCTTGCTTTACAGAGGGGGCACAGAGCCCCCAAGGTTTAACCAGGGGGCACTTATTGTCACGATGATAATAAGTGGTAAAAGGAGTAGGCTGCAAGTCTGCTGGATCCAACTGCGTTCTTGAATCTCCCCCTTTGCCTGTTCTACTCTCTTAATCATTTTTAGTGGCTGCTGAGAGTTCTGGGCTGAGAAGGTGCTATGGAGGAGGATTACGGTGGCCGAATCCACACAGGTGACTCACTAACCTCCTCTAAGTCAGGAAGCAGAGCATGCGTTCTGCAGTGACACAGAACGTGTCCCCAACAGACACAGAAGTCTCCGGACCTATCCTGACAACCCCAGAACTTTCAAAACAAGACATTTACCTTTCATCATCTTCAAAGATAGGACTGTCATCTCCAGATGCCATGGTTAGCAACACAGTCTGCAATCCAATTAGCAGCCAGGAAAGAGAAAAGCAGAAATGCAGCAGAGACAGGTTGGAAGCAGCAAAGATGACTACAAAGGGTTTTTTTTGTTTTTAACATTGAGATCCTTTCATTAACTGCCTGCATGTTCCAATGAAGTTGCATTTACATACAGTAGAGGGGAAAGCTTTTGTTTTCAGAGATAGTTCGAGCATACAAATAAGCCAATTCCATTTTTCTATTTAAACATTTACAGTATATATATATATATATATATATATATATATATATATATATATAATTTTTTTTTGAGACAGAATTTTTCTGTGTAGCTTTGGGTGTCCTGGAACTCACTCTGTAGACCAGGCTGGCCTGGAACTCAGATCCATCTATCTCTGCCTCCCACGTGCTGATTTAAGGTGTGTACCACCACTGCCTGGCAAGCACTTATAATTTCGTTTTTTTTTTTTTTAATTTTAAGATTTATTTATTTACTATTTATATAGTGTTCTGCCTGCATGTGTGCCTGCATGCCAGAAGAGGGCACCATATCTCACTATACATGGTTATGAGCCACCATGTGGTTGCTGGGAGTTAACTCAGGACTTTTGGAAGAATAACCAGTGTTCTTAACCTCTGAGCCATCTCTCTAGCCTCATTTATAATTTCTTAAAACATCAGAATAGGGCTGGAGAGATGGCCCAGAGGTTAAGAGCACTGCCTGCTCTTCCAGAGGTCCTGAGTTCAATTCCCAGCAACCACGTGGTGGCTCACAACCATCTATAATGAGATCTGGTGCCTTGTTCTGGCATGCAGGCACAGATGCATGCAGAATATTGTATAAATAATAAATAAATAAACCTTTAAAAAAAAACAGAGGAATAAATTCTAGTTTGTCTTGAATATTACATCATGCAGGAGCCTAAGGAACCGCCCCTGTCCCAGAGGTCTCGCCTAGAACACAGAAAGCCCCAAGGGTTTGAGGCTGTGCTCTAGGAAGCAAGTCAAATGCTAAGATAAACAGCTTTACTCAGCCAGTATGTGAAACTCCAAGCCAATATGTGAAGCATGATGGCGGCATCCATATTCAGGGTGACATTTAAGATCCAAGCTTTACAGTATAGTTTGAAGGCCAACACATAATTTAAAACATTTTCCTCCAGTGAAATTGTGAATTTGTGTGAAGTAGCTAGGAATATATGAGACTGTTCTGTGGGGGCAAAGCTTATTCACTCATTTTCCTAAGTCCTCAGTTATAGGACTCAATCAGTTCAGAAGCAGAGATCAGCTCCAAACACTGACGGAACTGTTTCAGTGTTAGTTACATTTCACAAGCCGGAAGTGCGCCTAGGCCTCCGTGCACAGCAAACACTACATGGAGAAGGCTGGGGAGCTAAAGAACACTCAGAAGCAGACACATGCTAACATGCATAGGGGATGCACGCGAGGAAGCTACAGTGGGCAGCCTACTCCTGCAAAGCTTTTATAAATTTGACTGTGTTTTGCTCCCAAGGCCTACTCCAGTTTTAGCACTCTCCTCAATAAGTGCCTTCCCTGCCAGGATGTCCAAGGGTGCGCTCCCTTCGCTAACAATGGAAGACTGCCAACCCCTTCTGCTGGAAGAAAAGTCAGGTGCCACAAACTGCTTCCAAAAGATTACAGAATAAAGGTTTCTATGCATAGCAACAGAATGCACACAGTGGTATAATATAATGCTGGGGGCATTCTCTGCAAACCACAGGGGACAATGCCATTCAAATTTTGCTATCCAACTTTTAGAGTGTTCCAAGAAGTTCATCTCTCAAACCTGAGAAAGTGGGAGGATTTTGTAGTAGAAAGAACTCCAAACATTACTAAGATGCGCTAATAAAGCACAGAGGCTGGAGAGATGGCTCAGTGATTAAGAACATGACTGCTCTTTCAGAGAACACTAGGTCAGTTCCCACCACCCAAGTCAGGCAGCCCACAACCACCTGTAACTCCTGCAGTAAGAGGGTCTGATGTCCTCGAGACTCTGGCACTTGAGTGCATGCCCATACCCCCACATACATATACACATGATGTAAAACCAAGATTATGCCGGTGGTAGAGCTTACCCCTTTAATCCCACGACATTAAAGGCAGAGGCAGGCAGATCTCTATTAGTTCAAGGCCAGTATGGTCTACAAAAGTGAGTCCAAGGATGGCCAAGGCTACACAGAGAAACCTTGTCTTGAAAAACCAAAAAAGGAAGACAAAACAAAACCCATTCTAAACTATCAACAGACATTCATACAAGCAACAATTAATTCACAGACTACTTAGAAATTAGTGATGTTTCACTCTCCAGTAACTGAAGAGTGCATATCCTAGGAGAAAAGCACCTAAAATGGTCAGAGTAAGCAGCTACCTGGCAAATTATATTTATAATTGTGCATTTCAAACTGAAAAAACCCATATTCACAAATCAATACAAAATTAGTTTCAATGTTTGTTTTCTGTAGATATGGTCAAATAAGAGAAAGCCTGCCTTAATGAAAGTTAGCAATATTTCACTTTTCTCTGTCCATGCTATCCCCAAATGAGCCAGGCGTGGTGGCACAAGCCTGAGATCCCAGCACTCTGGAAGGCAGAGGCAGGCAGACCTCTGTGAGTTCAAGGCCAGACTGGTCTACAAATCGAGTCTAGGACAGGCAACACTACACAGCAAAAACCTGTTGCGGAAAACAAAAATCAAATAAATTAAAAAAAAAAAATAAATCCCCAAATGACTAACAACTTGCTAAGTACTCAGACTCCGTGGAGATAATTTAACTAGAAACTGTATTTCCAAACATCCATTCAGTGTTTCAGACACGGTACTTATCTAATTTAATTGTGATGAGTTCACCAGACAGTAACACCGCCCACGATGATATTTACATGAGCACTGGTTGCAATGCAAGACGATTTTCATACTCTTGTGTTTACATGCTGTTACATACAGGTGACTGACTGAATGCCACGTCAGATCGTAAAACAGCAAAACAACTCGTTACCTGTCCTACCATCTCCCACCTTGAGTAAAGTGTGATTTCGCTGGGTTTCATTAAACCGTCATTCCATGCCCGAGGCAGGTTTCCAAGTAAGCCTTTGCACTACAGAAAGAGAGGAACTACAGAATTCTAGGAAGGGACTACAGAATCCTGCTCTGGACGCTGTAAGATAACAGGCTCCTTCGTTAAGCAACTCGAGTTGAGCTTACCGCAACCCTAGAGCGGTACAGGAATAAATCTGCCCCCAATGCCAACCTGCATTGGAACTAGCGAGAGCCAGCAAGGATGCTGCAGCGGGCTGCTCCCAGGAGCTCCGGTCCACAGAGCACTTACGGAGGGGTTAGCTCGGCCTCCCGCAACCCGGGGAGGTGCGTACGCTCGGTTCAAATCTCCCAGGGGTATTTTGACCAAGGCCACCCGGGACGCGTCAGCGGCTGCACACGGGCTGGACTCGCTGGCCCGAAGCCCGAGAGCCCCGATTGCGCCACGAACGCTGCTCCGAGGTATCGGGAGTGTCTGCAGCTGCGGGGCATCCGCACCGTTGCCAGCGGGGCCGCCCTGCACCCTCCAGGGCCTCCTGCACCGAACCCATCGCGGCTCGCAGTCCGCCGACCCAGGCCTGCCGCCGCGCACCTCGGAGCCCGCTCGGCCGACCCGGGCAGGAAGGGCCGGCCCGAGCCGCCAGCGCCACCTCCCGCGCTCACCTGCCCCGCGCGCCGCCACCGGCTCCCGATCCCACTACGTAGTCGGCAGCTCCCGCAGTCGCACCCGCATGCCGGGCGCTCAGCCTCCCCACTACCTTCCGGGGCCCAGCGAGACCCCCGCCCACCGCCCGAGTGAGCCTGCGCAAGTGCGAGTGTCCTCTCCAGAGGCCCCGCCCACCCTCCACGAGAGAGCCAATTCCCAGTGTCCGCCTCCAGAGGCCCCGCCCACCCTCCGCTCCGGAGCCAATCCGGCTCTTGCCGTGCATCCTGCGGTGCGCCCCGCCGCGCCGCTGCTACCTCGGGCCCTGCGAACCGTAGCTTCTGGGTGGCTTGCGGGGCCGGCGACCCTCTGCAGCCCTCTGCTTGTAGCCACCTCCCGGTTCGGCAGCTCCGCCACAGACACCCTCGGTTCCCACGGCCCAGCTGCCCTTCCATTCCCTGAGATGTGAACGGTCATGATCATTTTGGGTGGAAGAGTCCAGCCTTTGAAACGAGCTCGTCTCTGCAAGATCGCAGGTGACGTTTGGATGTCGAACCTTGCACGTAGTCCAGAGCTTTTTGTTTACCAATTAAGGAGACATTTGAATTTCATTTACTGACAGCCAAACCTTGGGGTATGGGGATAGAGCTGAATAATAGGGCACTTAGTTATCGTGGGTGAGGTCCTGAATTTATTGTTATTATTATTAATTATTATTATTATTTGTTTTTTCGAGACAGGCTTTCTCTGTGTAGCCTTGGCTGTTCTGGACTCACTCTGTAGACCAGGCTGGTCTCGAACTCACAGAGATCCTCCTGCCTCTTCCTCACTGAGTGCTGGGATTACAGGCAAGTGCCACCGCGCCCGGCTGCTCCTTATTATTTTTTTTAATGTATATAATACGTGCGCGCGCACACACACAGCCACCGCACTGTCCCTAGTGTAACCTAATTCTATTGTGAAAACTGAGGCAAACAGTTGAGTAGTCTCGGATACAATCTACCATTAGAGCCTCGTAAAGAGAACTAATGAATGCAGAGAATTTATTTAAAAAAAAAGTTTTATAAAGATCTTAGTTTGATAGTATTTTGTGCTTATTTAGTCGATGTTTAGGAGAACCTCACTATGTGATCCGTAACAGCCTCACACTTGGGATTCCAGACCCTCCTGCCTCAGTCTCCCCAGTTCTTGGACCACAGGCCTATCTACCCAGCACTCAGGAGGCGGAGACAGGAAGATTGAAAGTTTCAGGCTAGCCTGAGCTTTTTTTATAACTAAACCTTGTTTCAAAGTAGTACAATTTAGTGAAGTAGTTTCAGGCAGGATATCTACAACATTGAAGACTATTGGCCTACCTAATATTTTGACAATTCTGACTGACATGGCAATAAATATTTTAAGGAAAGAATACAAATGGGAGAGAACTGGACAGAACAGATGGCAGACACATTGTATCACCTACATAAAAGAGTTTCTATTAATATGTTTTTAAAATACCAAATGGTGTTTTTTAAGTTATTGGTGAAACGTACAAGTAGGATATTAAAAGCACGGGAAATAGAAATGGCCAATTTAAAAAGAGCTTACCTTCTGTTGATCTCCAACACTTAGGAAAAATATTTAAGCTTACCACGGACTCAAACAACTGAAACTCAGAAAGATTTTGTAAGGTCTGAGCAGTTGTCTCAGCATATCCAGGGGCCTCAATCTAATACCCAACACTACAAAACAACAAAGACTTGGTATGCACAAATACGTATACCTATATTTTAATTGTACTAACTATATGCAGATTTATTATTACTGTCTTCTAGACTATAAATACAATATGACTATTTATGTAGCAACTGCATTTGGTATTACAAATAATCCAGTAATAATTAAGTGTCTGGGATTGGGCATATAGGATCTGAGCCAATGCAGGGACATTATATCTGGAATGCTAATGTTCTTGGATGTTTTCTTAGGTGCTGGGGATTAAGTCCAGGGCATCGCACATGCTGGGCATACGTGTGTGTGCCACCGAGTTAAACCTTCGTCCTTCATCCTTAGATTTTAGTATCTACTGGGAATTGCTGGAACTGATTCACCACAGACACCAAAGGGATGATGACCATATAAACGGACTGGCTTAAACAAGAGAAATAAATGTATTCCCTCACAGTCTGGGGTGCTACAAGTCCCAAATCAGGGTGCTGGCTGCTTTGGCTGAGAGGGTAGAGCCTTCCTGCTGGCTTTCTACCGTTGGCAGTCCTTGGTTAATAACAGCATCATCCTGGTCTCTGCCTTCATTTCGTGTGTGTGTGTGTGTGTGTGTGTGTGTGTGTGTGTGTGTGTGTGTAGTGTATATGTGAGTGTGGTGTGCATGTGTAGTGTGTGGGTGTTTATATGTGTGGTGTGTATGCATGCATGTGTGTGGTCTGTGTGAGTGTATGTATGTCGTGTGGGATATATGATGTGTGTGTGAATGGTGTGTGGTGTGTGTGGTATGGTGTGCGTCTGTGTGTGCCTCTTTGTGTGTATGATGTGTGTGCCTGTTGCACATATATGTAGGCCATTTTCTTTCTTTATAACTTGCAAGGTGAGTAGACCTAGAGACCATTTAGACCAACTACAGTCTTCTTTTCAGCTTACTTTGTAAAAGCACTCTAGCAACGAAGTCATAGTCTGTGGTTCTGCAAATTAGCACTTCAACATATGACTTTGGAGAGCGGGGCATAATTTAACCTGTGTCCCATAGACGCAGGGAAACGGAAGGCAGAGGCAGCACTTGGAGCCATGTAGCCACAAATCAAGGAACACCGAGGATTGTTAGTGGTCATCAGAAATAGGCAGAAATTGGGAAGATTCCTCCTTAGAAGCTTCAGAGGGCTCAGGGCAGGGTTTGCCAGCTCATTCATGTCAGATGAACATCCTGTAGAACTGTGAGAATATGCTTTTATTTTTTCTTTTCTTTTAAGCCACTACTAAGTCTGTGGCTGTCAGAGTAGCAATAGGGAGCTGGTACAGCAGGCACCTTGAACTCGGTGGATGCATGCTGAAGGAATGACCACGCCAGCACACACAGACAGATGAACAGCAGGAGCTGGGCTGGTAGAATATTCACATCACAAAGAAACCATTTTTCTCACGAGCCATATAACGTTATGTGCCACAGGCACTGATCTCGCTCATGCTGGCTGATGAGAAATCATAAGTGGTACAAGGCATCCTTCCTGTTAAGACTGTTCTATGACTTTTCCAGGGGAGATGTGAACGAACATCTGTTCTCTCCAGGTAGTGCACCGGGCGCTGGCCAAAGAAACTAGTCTAATTATATCTAGCTTGGTGGGAAGGTTCATTTTACAGCTTGCAAGGAATTCCACAGGACATTCTCCTCTCCCCCAGCAATTGTTCATTGCTCACATAACCTCAGTGACGGGCTTCACACCTTGTGAGTCTTAAGATTTTCTTCTGAGTTCTCCAGACTCCCTTGAGAGTCTCCTGAGCAACCTCCTCCTTCCTGATTTCCTCCATAAGGAATCTTTAAATATGGAGGAGACAGCTACACACTAGGAAAACTGTCCAGACTTCCTGGTGTGTGCCCAGGCTGTACCCAGCCAAGCAGAGCACAGCACAGTGTGAAAACATGCCATGGCTGCCAGGGACCTTTTATCCTTCCCATGGGGCCAAGACACAGCTGCTGCTGTAGCAAGACATACTCATGGAAGCCTCCCGGTTAAAAGCATTTGCTTCCCTCGGCCACTGGCCCTTCAGGATTCTTTGTTTATACAAGGAAGCATATAGATTTCAAAGTGTGAAGGCATCCAGATAGCTTTAAGTCTTTCTCTCACATTCTCTGTCATGTTCCTTGGGATTCTTTAAAATAGTCCAAATTTCCATCAGTGCTTCCCTTTGGCTCACTCTCACCATCCCACACCTTAGGACAACAGACAAGCGGCAATTAGAGCAGAAAAGTTAGAAGGTAAAGAAAGCCAGAGTTGCTAAGATGAGTAACCATGCAAGCATCTATGCCGCTAAGCGCCAGTGGCAGGAAAACTGTAGCTGAGCATTTGAGAGGTTAACGTCAGTGCTGGGACCGCTTGGTTCGCTTTCTCAGGGCACCTGTCTGCGGTTAGATCCCTCTTAAAATGCAGCTTGTTCTAATCGCTGCTCTGCCGCTGAAGACAGTCTTAAACTCCTGGTCCTCCTTCCTCTACCTCCCTAGCGCAGAGACTACAGGGCAGCACCACCATACTTGGATTCAATAGTCCTTTTTAAAGGTCAGAAATCCAACTGCTAACATCTACTACGCAAGATGTTTTTTGAGTAGAGACCTAATTATGGAGTCAAGGCTGGCAACCAATTCAAGAGCTCCCCCCCCCCCCCGCTCAGCTTCCTGAGTGTGAAGATAACAAGTGTTTATAAGATTTATAAATACAATTGGTTTATAAGAAAATTTCGACAACAAAGAATGCGTTGGCAAGGTGTGGTGGCACACCAGTCATCTCAGCACATGGAAAGCAGAGGCAGGAAGCTCTCAACTTGGAACCCAGGTTAGTGAGCCTATGCTACGTCAGTATACCCTATTTCACGAGAGAGGGAGAGAGAGGTAGGGTTGCTATTGATACAGTGTCTGGTATGAAAGAGAGTAATTTGTCTGAACCCCTTAACTGTAAAATGTGATACACAAGAACACATCACCTCAGAGGGAATAAGAGATAGTTTATTATGGAGTCAATGTGACTATAGCCCCAGAACACAAATTTACATTTCCCCCAAATTCCATGTTCCAATGTGGTACCAGTTTCGTGATATTTTCATAGTAGCATAACAAAGAAAGTCATAAATCCACACGTTTCAATTACATCGGTGGCTGTTAAGGTAACATTCCCCGATGCCCTTGAGTCTTGAGAGGGTTGATACAGCTGTCCCATGTAGAGCTGAGCACTCAGCAATCACTTACTAGCTCTGTGACCAGTCATGAGTGCCAGAAGCAACTGCTGCCATGGCAGAAAGGAGCATGAGGGCAGCACCAGTCTATGGGTATCAGCATAAATAGTTAGAAGGCAGTTGGACACCTTGTTGTTTTAGCGAAATAATAGTAGGCCCCCCACTAGGGCCTATGACCCCCCTAGTCATGGGGATTTGACCCGGTGTCTGGTACTGGGCACAAATTCCCTTCTGTGGAGTAGGCCTCAAATACAATCGGAAATTGGTCGGTCACCCTCATAACTGTTGTATAGCAATTTCTTCTTAGATTAAAACCTTCTATC